TTCAAACACTGCCTGAACATGCTGTGCTCTACGTTAAAGGGCAGATTTATGGGATCCAGTTTGGGTCAGTTGGATTCATACATGTAAAATGTTTATTTATTTATTTTTTTTACCTTTATTTCACATACAGGTCACAGTAACTTTTAGTACAGCTGTATGGTCATAAGTTTCATTTGGGACATATATGCTTAATCTACCTGTAAATAGTTCACAATGTGGCAGAAGATGCTTTATTTTACTGATACAGTCCAGTTAAAACTCCACTAAATGCACCGACATGCACAGAATGTATTTTTGAGACCCGTGGCATACAAGTATGTTTGATGTTTGAGTAATTGAAACGCATTGAACAGTTTATGTTATTTTCAAAATAAAGTCATTTATACTCACAAATAAAATGAATGTATGTGTCATGTATTAATGTAAATTTAATAATGTCGAGTCTGGTTTTGTGAAAAGTAGAAAGATGGAGGATGGGATGTTATGCCAGTTTGTGAAGTCAATTCATTAAGTCTTGTTTTTTTTTGCACACTTTCTTGAACTGCAGATTTTTTTTCTTAAATAATACAACCGCATATGTTACATTAATCTACACTCAGTAACTGTGAGTGAAAGCATGTTTTTAGATTTTTTTTTTTGCAAATTTATTGAAAATCTAAATCTAAAATCTCTCATTTACAGAAAGCCTTCATATGATTTGTGCTTTGAACTCAGGGTACGTCTTTTTGTGTCCATCTGAGTTTAATTCAGTTTGAGATCTTTCATAGAGTTCATTATACAAAATCTTGACTTAGGAGACTGTTTCCACATGTTGGCGATACCTGTAATAGATAAAGCTTCATACTGGCTTGATCATACTTTATGTTGTTTTCTGAGTTCTGATCCTATTTATTTTATACATTAAACAAAGTTAGCAATATTAAACTACAACTCTGCTCCCTGATCACCTCCTTTGACTTGATACAAGTCAGACGTACAAAGAACGATTTTAATTTTTTTTTGCCTTACTCATAGCCAACAGAAGTATAGTACAGTGGAAAAGCCCAAACCTGCCTTCTGACACATCCTGACTAACCAATTTAGTGTCTCTTCTGTCGCTAGAAGCAATGAAATGTGCATTGAGAGGTTTATTTTCTAACTTCTATAAAAGATGGCAGCCTGTTAATTTATTGGTACATACACTTTTTCTGGCCCCCATCTAAATCTCAATACGTCAAGTTAGCACCTTGAAAATCCCTCTTCCTACATATTCTAAATTCATTTGCTTTGTGTGTGTTTGTTTTATTGACTCTGTGAAGTTTTTGAATGTGTTTACTTTCTTATCTCTCTCTTTCTTTTAAATGAGTTGTGTATTGGTGGGTGGTATTGTTTTATTTCTTCCTTTCAACATAACTAAGAAGAAAGGGAAAAGTTTTTAGCACATGTAGCTGTGCTTTGTATTTGACATTTGCATAATGCCAGTTTCCAATAAATAATATGTGAATAAATATTATTAAGATGTCTAGAATTTGATTCCAGAAAAGTATATGTTAGATTTAATCGTCCATGCTGTCTGTCAGTGCAGATTGATGAGTAAAACCGTCTTTTTTTTCCTTTCAAAAAAAAGAAAAAAATATAATAGAGTGTGCAAAAAGTCAATGGTTCTGAATACCATTTGAAACAATTATACGCTGTTAGCAGAAACAGAATAGTAATCTAATAGCTGACGTGTGAGAAGTGTTGATATTGATGGTTTGCTGTAGTAAACTATGAGTTCAATAAATTTCTGATTGATTTTGTAGCACGTGTACAAGAAAATATGCAAGACACAGCGCACACCTCTGAGTCCAGTGTCCCTGTGCCTTTAAACAACACAACGATGCTGTAAAAGCTCTTCATGCTGTGTACTCCCCTAAGTGACACATTATCCTTTGACAGCGACCCGCAGGTGAAGACACTTTGTGCATATTTGGGATTTTTAAAGAAGGTAAGACTCATCTCATCGTGATATAATGATCCAGCTATCATGTCATTCTCTCAGATTGTGTGTTCTCTTAGTGTGTTTGATGTTATTGTGATTTGCATTCAGCTCACTTTTACCTACAGCTGTAACGAGCAACGCTTTTATAGGATGAAGGTCCAGCTCTTAAAACTCCAAGCACCATAAAGTCAGACTGTTCGACACGCTACTTTTTTTTTTATTCTGCCAAGAAATGGACGAAATCTCAATTTAAAAACGACGGCATTGTGAGTGAAACGCCACAGGGCCGCTTCGATGGGACAGTTTGTACTCAAAGTCTCGTATAAGTGTTCCAGTGAGTTCACATAAACTGAGATGTAAAGTCTGCGCCCTTATCGCGTCGTGTGACATTAAGTCACACCCATCCATTTATATGTTTAAACTTTGGTTCTGAAATTGCTTCTTATCTGTTTTTCTGTTGTTAAATTTTACAGTGATTGCTGTGTTAAATCTGTCAGTGTAAATGTTGGCTGAGTTTAATACTAATTTAAACTTGCATTAGATTTGAGGAAGGAATACAGATTGCAGATGCAGATTGTACTTCTTTATCACACTGTCAATGAAAGTCCTTATTGAACATAATTGTATTGTTGATTTCAGGCAGCACAGAAAGTCAGAAAAACCTCCTCTGCTGGTTGCACTGTTAAAACTAAATTCTTTTTTCTTTTGTCTCTCAGTAATGCCAGCAAGTTGACACAATTCCAGTGATGACTTCGGTAGGAACTATCTTTCAATATGTGTAAGTTATCACATTAAGTTAAGAATCAATCTCTCAGTGCAGGAAAGGGAATTGTTGCAGTTAAAGTTTAAAAATGTGTTTTCAGATTTCCTCTGGTGGTGGTTTCCATAGCTGTCATACTCCTCTGCTTCTACGTTAAAGCAAAAAAGAACAGAGGATCATATGACGTGAGCATGCCAGCGCGAGGTAACAATGCGTCTTCAGCATCCCGCACAATGTCTTCACCAGAGGATCGGACAGAAGTGAACACAGTTTATGACAGATTTCCTCCTCGCTACAGCACTGTGGATCTTCCACCACCATACCACCTGGTGCGTGAGCACTTTTTGTTTTCTTTGGATCACTTTGCAAACAGATGTGCACACAGATCTAAGCTCTCTGTCCAATATTCAGAAAACCTGCTGGCCCTGTTTTATGCAGCAGCATCTTTCATTTAGGATGTGTTGTTCTGAATTAGCCTTTAATGACAGACACAAAGTCCTCCCCACCCATATGGGGCTTGAAAAAACCTGATTATGGGACTAAGTGGAATACAATACTTCAATGAACAACTTAAAAAAAAAAAAAAAAATAAACTCTTGTTGAAATAACAAAGTTGTGGAAATATGCTTAATCAGCGTCATGCCTAGATGGTTGAGCAATACCACATCATCAGTTGTTCAGATGTAGTTAAAAAAATGGCAGGAAAAGTCTTTCTCTTCTTTGTTTCCAAGCAAAATTGGGGGGAAAAAAGTTTCAGGTCCAGTTTTTTTTTTTTTTTTTTCTTTTACCAATTTCCTTCTTTATTTTTTTTTTTAAACCAAAACAGAAGCCACATGACTCTTTTGTGCTCTGAATCTAAACTGTTTCAATTATTATTATTTATTCATTATTATTTTTGAAGAGAAAACAAATAGACTGCATAATTTAATTTTTCCTTAAAATAATAATAATTATTTAAAAAAACATGTTGTATTTTTGGTTTTGATTTCCAAACAAGAAACTACCCATGAACAAAAAGGGATTGTGTTTGATTAGTATTTCACTTGTGACATCTGCAAAAGGATTTTCTATTTGTGGCTTTAAAACAAAGAGTAAAATTAGGATTCTTTGGTGTTTAAATTACAAAGGAATTATGGACTATCTGATGATAGCCAGACCCCAGACTTCAGTGAGGAATTTGATATTACTCTCATGTTTGTTTGACAAATACGAAGCTATTGCCAGCAGTCAGTTAGCTTAGCATAGTATTTGCATAACTAACCTTTTCCTCATCTACAGTCAACTGGCATTTTTGGCCACTACAACTGAGATTATTTTTTCCTTTACAAACTCCAGTTTGTGTGTATCCATGTGCAAACTTAAAACAGTGAGACTGAGAAACAGTGACTTTAGATCTTAATTGGTAATATTGATGATACACCTAAAACAATGCTAGCTAGCTCCCTCGCTAACATATCAAACAGAAGCGATTCGCATGAGTGTCATGACTTTTGGCAAGAGCAGGATTATGGTTAAGTTTTATCAAAAAAGAAAAATATTGGGGTTATTATTTATTCATTTTCCAGCATTTCACAAGAAGCTTAACATGAAGACAAAGCTTGACTCCGCACCACTGGCTGTTCTGTGGTAACGCATGCTCTGCAACATGTGCTGCAGACAGGGCTTAAGAATATTGTAAATAATGGAGGTACAGTCGGTTTACTGGAAAAACTATTTGATGACACAATTTGAATCACTCCAAGCAGTTAAGTTGTTATATCAGCATATATTGAACATATACCATTATACCACAAGCCAACAACTCTATGATAGATCAAAATCGACCTATCACAATGAATTGGCCGGGTTAAATAAAGTTAATTATTTAGTTTCACTTTCTGCAGGATTTGAAATATACACAATAAAACACTGTGTAATAACAGTGTGTGCAATTTAACTTTGAACTTTATTTTCATGCAGTTTGACCCCAAGTTGACGGGTGTCTGGCCAGGCGGCCCACCGCCGGCCTACGAGATGTATCCAATAACGCTGCCTCTGGCACCTCACTACTGGTCGACGGCTGCAGCATCTCGACAGCCGACCCCGCCCTCCTCACCCACTAACCACAACCACCCACGTCTTGTGAGGTCGCACAGGGCATCCTCCACCTAAACTCCATGTGAAGTGTCAACGCAGGTGCCTTGTCTATTTAAAACAAAAATAGTATTGCATTTTATTTAATGTAATGTTGTGATTTTAATGTACTAATTATTAATATTAACTGTAGTCAGTGAAGCAACGTTCTGCACAATTTCCATTTTTAATACATTTTTATATGAACATCAAAACTACAGTGTAGTTGTCCGACTGCATCTACAAACCGGCAGAGTCATCAAAGCACCAAGTGTTTCTCTATGTTATACTATACACTCTTTATTACAATACAGTACTTACAGGTTGAAGGGAAAAATAAAATAAATATTAAATAAGTTGCCAGAATTATTTTTTTTCTATTTTCTAAGAAGGAACATGTACAGTGACAGAAGTGAAATGTTCCATGATGAAAAAATAGAGTGTTTCCTTGGCTTTTGAACCATGTTAAGGCAAAAGTAAGCATGAATTAGAAGCCACTGATAAATATTTTTTACTGTTTGTACATCAAAAACCAAAACAAAAAAAGTACTTTCACCAACTGTCCGACCGGTAATGTTTAGTTATATAATGTTTGCCTTCATTATACAATCGGTGCATACTGTAGGCTACTTCTTCAGGTATTTTTCTTTCTTGTTTTTTTTTTTTTGAAATAGGGTTTAAGTGTTTTTGATGCTACAAATACAACTCCAAGAGAATTAAGCAGTCAGTAGTCCGACACTGTGATCCACTGGCCGGATCTTTTCACTGTCAAACAGACCAGAGCTTCACCAGCAACGGGACAGCAAATGCTCAACATAAAGAAAGGAAATAAAACAAACCGAGACAAATGCAAAACGTCTCAGCAAGAATGTCTTCCACTGCTCTCACTTTGTTTCTGTATATATATATATATGTATATATCGCCATGTGTGCACATTAGAGTGTGTGTCAATAGATGTATTGCATGTATATTTAAGATTATCTATTGCTGTTCAGTTTTCAGATTTGTGGAGACGTACAAGATTAAGCACATTTCTGAACACATACAATCATACTGTGTGATCAAATGGTAAAAGATAGAGAATTTGATACAAATATGACATTTGGTATCTTTCCTCAACCAGTCTGTCCTACCAATCCCATGTAAACATTACACTACATAAAGTATTTAAGATTTGTAAAGGCTAAAAAGTTTAATGTCCTTCAAGGAAAAAACCTCCAACAGAGCACTGTTACTTGCAAAACATATGCGTTACTCTATATCCACGTTTATGATAACACACACACACACACACACGCTCACACTCACTCACACTATTGCACTAAACCTCATAATCAACTCTAAATCCTTCTCAACAAACATCAATAGAATTATTCCGGGTTCTGACAAATTAAATACAGCTTGACATTAGGCTCAACGGAGGAACACTAAGTTTGTACAAAACTGCTCTACATGAGGCTGGTCATTTGCACTGAATCATGATGCTCGGCTCCTTCACTACACACATCCACCGCCAACGGCTCTACGGAAACAGCGCTCTCTGGAGCCGCCAATGTGAAATCGTCCTTCCACCTTCCACCTGCGACCCTGGCACCTGAGCTCGAGGTGGCTTTCAGAAGACCCAGCTGACAGGCACCCACTGCTGCTCCGTTGACAGTTTCTCCAGCGCCAACCGTAGACTTCGGAACGCCGCTTCGAGGCCGTCGTTCACAATGCAAAGGTCAAAGTAATGTCCGTAGGCTCTCTTAATGCGCTCGCTCTCGTCCACCGTCCTCTTTAGTTCAGAGTCCTGCGGAGAAAAGTGGTTGAGTTTCAGTCTTTGAAGAGACAAATAGTTACAAAATAATGCAACGAGCTACCAGTCAATTGGATGGAGGAGCAGACTAAACAGTGAAACTGGTAGGAAACTGAAATCGAATCCATCCATCCATCCATCCATAGATCCATTATCTATCCACCGCTTAATCTTCACTAGGGTCGGCTGGAGTCTATCCCAGCTGACTCAGGGTGAAGGCAGGGGACACCCTGGACAGGTCACCAGTCTATCACAGGGCTACACTTAGAGACAGACAACCAAGCACACTCACATTCACACCTACGGACAATTTAGAATCACCAATTAACCTCAATATGTTTTGGAATGTGGGAGGAAGCCGGAGAACCCGGAGAGAACCCACGCTGCACGGGGAGAGCATGAGCATGCAAACTCCACGCAGAAAGATCCGGGGCATCCTAACCGGGAAGCGAAGCGAGGATCTTGTACCTGTGAGGCGACAGTGCTAACCACCGAGCCACCTTGCAGCCCTGAAATCGAATCCATTAACATTCCTCTACGCAGAGCAAATAGGAGCAGGTATTCCCTCTGCTAATACACCTGAGATTGTTATTTCATGCATTTCTAAAACTGGCCCCAAAGGACATATAAAGTTTTGAATTTTTGCCTCTATTTTCAAAGATCGTGGACAGAAAGACCAAATGGGGAGAATAACACACAACCCAACATTTTTTTTGTGAAAAATGTCAGTATAACTATTTCAGGGTGCAGCAAGTGAAATGTTAAGTTTCAGCTGATTCTAAAGTTTGTGCTACTGACGTTTAAAGTCCCTGAATGACCAAAGTATGTTTCTCATGACTAAATGTGAGCTTTATATGATAAGTTCTAAAAAAAAAAGAAGAAGACGAAAAAGACATCCTTAGATATAATCAAAAGATACAAACAAGAGTGTAACGCTTAGAAACGGAGCTAATCGGCTTCATCAGGAAGCTGTGGTTGCAATTTAATCTCCTCTGATTGAAAGTATGAGGAAACATCTGCTTAAATGTCATCACATTTTGTTTCAAGCGTTGCTAAATCGTGAAAGATGCACCAAAGAAAGTGACGTCATCCGTTTGCTACATCGTCCACATAAAACCAATGCGAAGAACACGGAAAAAAGACAAGCAGACGCAGTGATTTATAACATGTTAAATAAGATTCTAATGGTCTGAGCAGAGAATGAATGAGAACGCACCGTTAATTGTTTGGTGACCACTCCTGACTCAATCGCTGACCTATTCATGGCTTTGAGGACCTCAAAGTCCGGCGCTTCAATGAACACAACATAGGGCAGGAATTCAGACGTCTGCAGGACTTTCAGAGCCTTCAGAGAGAAACAGTGAAGATGAGTCACAACGGCTGCATCACTAACAGGCTGCTCAGCTCAAACACAAATGCAATAAAAAAGATAAGAATGTAGTTAAAGTGTAACTGCAGCGTCTTCCTCTAACTTATTTAATGCGTGTCAACAAGATTAGCTGCTTCCAGCGTCTTGCTGATCACTAAGCGATGCTTCTAGATTAATAGTGAAGATGTGCTCGGCCTGAAAATGCGTCAGTTGTGCATAACTGATTTTATACTTGAGTCATGTACATTGAGAAAACACGACAAGAATCGACAGGCAACAAGCAGAGTCAAGAGATAAAAGGGGGGAAAAGCAAACATAGACGCTCAGTCTACCTGTGGGTTGACATCCAGGATGCAGATCTTTCCTGTTTCTATCACCTCGTGTATGGAGTTGATCTTGGTGCCGTACAGGTTCCCGTCATACTCGCCGTGCTCCAAGAAACGGCCATTTTTGATGTCACACTCCATTTCATTGCGAGTCATGAAGGAGTACATCTGGCCGTCCCTCTCATCCACCTTTGGTTTTCTGGAAGTGACTGTGTGATGAAGATTGATACCAGCACAGAGATGGGTCCATTTTAAACTGCTGCCACAAATATCACACCACAGGATAAAGTTCTCTGAGGAAATTTAAAAGCCAATGTCACTTCAACACTTTGGTATAGTTTAGTTGTTTGCATTGTGTGAACACTGACACTGGCTTGTAGAAATATGTTAAAATGCAGGGTTAAGGCTCAATGTTTGAGAAATTAAAGAAATTAAAAAATGAGAAAACAACATAACACAGAAAGACATTATTTTAAGTGAAAATCAGCACATAAAATGACATCATCAGCATACTGTGCAACAAATGCATAAAATAGAGCTTGTGTTGATAACGATCTAATAATTGGATATTTGCCAACTATTAAATAATCTTCCACTATTATGATAACTGATCAATGTGTCTGATTATGTCTTAAGACAAAAAGTCTCAATTCTATCTTCCTAAATTTTAACATTTTCTGTTTTTTTTCCTCGTCTGATGGTAAACTGTATATCTGTATGATGTCGACAAAACAAGACATTAGAGAAAACACACTGATATTTCACAAACCAATTGATCAAGCAAATAATCTACATATTAATTGACAATGAGGAAAATCCTGAGTGTCAGTGTCAGCTCACAGGGGATGGTGGTGCCGTAGCGTTGGGGATCCGACACCAGCAGCTTGTTCTTCAGACTCCGACGGCCGACACCTTGCGCTCCAATCAGAACCAGCGTCTTCCTCCTGAAGGGCGGGACTTTGGCAACCTCCTCATAGATCCGCAACTCGTGCCGATCAAACTCTAGCAAGTCATTAGACACATTAGCGTAAAAAATAAGTTCAAAAAAATGAAAGGTGAATCTTTTCCAAAGCAAAATGCAACATTTGAGGTTTTGTTTTTTTTTTAACCTGCATTCTTGGTGGTGAGATACATCATCTTTTTTTTCTTCTTGCCACCCATCCCTGCACACAGAGGACCTGAGACGGACACACAAAGCACAATCAGACCTCCAACCCCCAACACTTATCTCTGTCAGCCACTCCGACAAAGGCCCTGTTACAATGATATACTATGAAGGTGAAATCTCCGCCAGGTCATAAATTCCAAACGGGTTGTAGGGAGACTCCACCATTAGATGGCACTGTGCACCAATACTGATCAGTCTGTGCGGCCAGTCCTCTGCCAGGGAACACCTGTGACTAGGCGATCTGCTGACCGTCTGTTCGGTACGGCAGAATATTTGGCCATGGGGGAGAGAGCCATATATGGAGGGACATGCATGGAAACATGTACAAATGTACATGTAGATGTAAAAATTCAGCTCTCTAAGCTGTGACAACAAATAATTGTGACTTTGGCGTTAAAGAGTGCTAATTATTAACATTTCATCTGAACTGAATACATCACCATTATCAGACCTCACCATCCAGAAGATTCAAATGTTTAATTCTAAACATGCTCTCAGTTGGCATCACAGGGTGCTGGCAGACAGATGTGTCCTTGCCCGGCTCCAAGGGCAGTACAGTTGGGCTGTCATCTTCCTCTCCTCCACAAGTGAAGGGCATGCGGCTGGCTATGACTCACCACCTGTTTTGTTGCTGCTCAGGACTCTGTACGGAGCAGATAAATCTAAAGAAACAGCCTGTTTTCACTCCACGCCTCCTAAGAGGAGAGATCATTATTGATCAGGTTTTTATTTACGGCTGTCTTATCACCACTCCTCAATCAAGGCTCCTTCTCGGGGAGGGTAGTTTGTGAATGTCAGCCCCTGCAGCTTAATAACGAGCAGATTGGATCAGGCCGCCTGAGTCACCCCCGATGCTCATTACCAGTTCTTCGGCGCTCCCTGACAGAGGAGCAAACTGGAGAGGGGAGAGGAGGGCGAGCGGCCGGCGCCAGATGAAATGCTCGTATGATATGGAGAGGAACAGATGTTGTCTTTGTTGCCAGGGTGTTTGTGCAGCGAGGAGTCTGTGTCAAATCTGCATAATGAGAGGCGCTTCTCTTGCTCGGCTGCGTGCGGCTAAGAGGTGTACCTGTGGTAGCGAGCTCCAGATCTCTCTTCACAAACGCTTTCCTCTTCTCCTCGAGGAGCTGACTTGGAATTAGACCTGCACTGCCTCCCTCTATGTGACAGGCCTGCGAGGGGAGAAAAACACATGCAGAAAAGAAAAAAAAAAGAAGTGAACAAGCTAACAAGCCAGTGGAGAAAAAGTCTCCAGTTAAGAATATGCTGGTAGCTGCACGGACCTGCCACCAGTTGAGGTCCTCCTGGTTAAAGATCTGCAGAATATCACCACTGCTGAAGCTCAGTCCTGCCTCCTTGCAGGGGATCAGGTTATCGTGGGACGGGTCGTAATCAAAGTGACACTTCACGAAGGCCTAAGATGCGGAAAAAGAGGCAACACATCAGCAAGAAGCTGGACAGGATGATACAATTTTAGCAGCAAAAGCCGGCTTTGTAAGACGGTACAAAGCATACTTTTGATGCTTCTGGCGTGGTATGTGTGAACTGTGGTGGATGGATTGGGTGAGTAAGTGTCCATCAGTGTGAAACAGCCTTGTCCACTTAAAGCCTACTCCATCTCACGGCTCACTTTTCCCGACGTCTCAGGGCTACAGGATTCAGCTCATAAACCGAACCATCTATCCCAACCCCCACTGACAGGACAAGGAGTCTGAGAGACAGACAGGGAGAAAGAGTGAGAGAGACAGAAAGAGAAATAAAGAGAGAGAGAGAGAGAGAGATGGAGAGAGAGAGAGCCAAAATCTGTAGCCATGGCAACCATTCCCTCCCCCCCCTGTACTTGACGTCGTTTTTTTTCCCTCTCCTACTGAACTGATGCATGAACATTAAAAAAAAAAAAAGCCTGCCAGCCTTTACTGTACTGTACTGTGTGTATATGTGTGTGTGTTCAATCCCCTGCGAGGGTTTCGATGGACACACAACAAGCTCACTCGGACACACAATCGCGGCGTCCTTTAGCCAAAGCGAGCTGTCAGTTGAGTTTCGTCACCACGCGACGGCCCGAGCTCGAGGCCTGGAACGCAGACAGCTGGATTACATTAACAAGAGAACTTTTGGGAAACAAACTCTCATCATCGCTCAAACTCCTCACACAGTGCATCCTCCTACGCAGCTCTTAACAGCACGACCGATCATTCTTTAACATCTCAGACAGACAGCCACTGTCAGGTGGATTTGGAGCACATACTGCGGAAAAAGCAAAACTAAACCCTTTCACAAAGCAAAGGTCTAAAGAGGATGTATTGGTGGAATGCACTCTCACGCAAACGTCTCGTGACTCCTATGCCATGACTCACAACACTTTCTTTTCAGGGAGCAGCCCGAAGAAAAAGAAGCTTGACGAGTTTTCTCAGATAAAGGCAGTTTTACGGAACTTCTGCCAGATTGGATGCTGCCCTCTGTATCTACACTTTCTACCAGGGAAGCGGAAAAGAAACAGCTGTAAACAGGATTTTTACAACGACTACATCACTACTGTTTTACAACCTCCCTTCTTTTATTTTATCTCAAGGATTTCACTGCTCCCCCCACAGGCTGAGGAGACTCTCTGACCTCAGGCAGATGGGAATTCCATTAGTTTTACAAGAGTTGAGTCAAAAACAAGTGTCGTAAAATTCAGACTTGATGATGTGGCTTGAGATAAAGTAGGCAAAAAGTTAACCAAATGCATTACAGTTTATCCGATGGGGAGCACAGCAGTATATCAGTTTATTCTGGCAATCCATCCAGTAGTTATCGACAAGGTGCTCAAAACCATAAATGTCACCGTACAGCAAAGATAGAAGAAATCCTGTGAGCACGATAGTACCAAATATCAGTTCAGGTCAACTTTCTCTTTTTTTATCATCTCAGTCATATACGAACTGCAGAGTACGATGAAATTTAGTGTCTGCAGGAACCATGGTGTGATATATAAACAGATTAAAATATGCAGAGATAAAGTGCAAACAACATAAAATGCAAGTAGATGGGAGAAAGTGCAGCAATCAGAATCAGTGCCAGTATTACTATT